TATATATATATATATATATATATATATATATATATATATATATAGTAGACAGAGGATAATTTAATGATAAAATGTTAAAAAGATGAAATTGATATAAAATCCATAAAATTTTGAAGATTAAATGCATGTAATGGCTATGCCAAAATATAAATATGTTATATCCTTAATGATCCTATTATTCCATGTATGTTAGTGAAATTTAGGCTCAGTTTGGAAGGAGTACAAATACATGCAAAATACAAGGTTTTGCACTCTACAAATTTGTATTTGTATTCCTTCCAAACTGAGCTTTAAAGTTTGAAAAGGGCAAAAAATCAAGGGGTAAGTCCAGGGCCACAGGGTTCCTAAAAGTTAAAAACTCTCGTCTAATGTCCTATATTTATCTCCAATGTCAGCTCAAACTTTTAAATAAGCAAAATTGCTTTGTATGCATAAATGATAAATCATGGTGGTATACTAGGCTTTCCCTATTAGTTCTTCTGTCTTAAAGCTTTGTTATTCTTCATTCCATACTAGGCTTTCCGAAGGGACTCCCCCTTAGCCGTTGACATGTCAACTGCCATTCTGGCACTGTCAGAGAATGGCGAACTTCAAAGGATCCATGAAAAGTGGTTGAGGAGAAGCGCTTGCAATTCACAAGGAGCTGCCATTGGATCAGACCAACTTCAACTCGAGAGCTTCCAGGGCCTCTTTCTCATATGCGGACTAGCTTGCATTATTTCCCTCCTTGTATATTTTATGTCGGCTGTACGCCTGTTCCGCCAACATTCCTCTGAAGAGCCTGAGGGTTCTTCTAGAGGAGGTGGATCGCGATATGGACGCATCCAATCGTTTCTGTCATTTATTGATGAAAAAGAAGAGGAAATAAAGAGGAGGTCCAAGAGAAGGCAATCGATAAGGTCCATAAATTGTAGTGAAAGCAATGATGGATCAACAAATGCGTCCCGGAAAAGACACCTTGAGATGACTTCGGACGACAGTATTTGAGTTGGGAATTAGCTTAGTCTGTTTGCTTTACCAGGTCTCCCAGTGTATATTACCCCAGACATTGCAGCTGATTTAGCACTATTTTGCAGCTGATAATTACTCGGGTCTGTACTAGTTTTGGTTGTTTTTGAAACCTATTTTTCTCATGATATAATTGTAATGTTATCATGCTGTAATAATAATCGGGTCTTATCGGGTGGACCCAATAATATCAATTAATAATTGGGTTGATTTTGGATGTGGCTGTCTGGTTTGGAACTGGTTTGGTTTTGGGACCGGGTCTACTCTAATTCAGACTGAACCCCACCAATTGACGCCATTACTAATGGTCAAGGTTTGATTCGCTTAGCGGTGTTTTTCAACGCCAGTCGGACCATTGAACTGTTGGCCCATTGACCAGATGGTTGAACCACTGACCTGTTGACCCAAAGAGGAAAAACAATTCAACATCCGGACCAAGTTTTAAACACTGTTATCAATCACAGTTTGGAGAAGAAATCGACTAGCCAATCCGAGTCCCAGATAGGGGTGCAAGTGAGGCCAGGTTAGGTTAGGTTGAGGTCTTGAACCCCCCTATCCATAACCCAATTCAATCAAACCCAAAGTTGACTTAGGGTTGAGTTGGGCTGCGGTAAGGCCCAACCTGATGACCTTTCTCCTATCCTTTTAAAGTCTCATAAGCTGTCTCAAATTCTCTTGATCTTTATTAAGAGACTTAAAGAGAGCTCCCTTGGCAGATTTGTGCTCATCATATGGCTTTTTGTGGCTCTGATCATCAACTCAAGCTATACTGCAAGTCTGACCTCGATACTCACAGCACAGAAACTATCTTCACCCATAAAAGGAATTGAGAGCTTGAGAACAACTGATGACCCTATTGGATTTCAAGTTGGATCCTTTGATGAACAACTGATGCCATCTTTCCATGTAAAATCATAGTAATGATAACGAACTTGAATCCAACCAACTTCACCTCAAGAGCTTCTGGGGACTTTTCCTGATATGTGGCCTTGCATGTTTTGTTGCTCTCTTTATATACTTATTCTTGATGATAAGGAAGTTTACTCGTTACTTTCCCGGAGCTACGCACATCAAGACATTCTTATCCTTTGTTGATGAGAAGGAAGAACATTCAAAGACCAGGTCTGAGAGAAGACAATCAGATGCGACTTCAAATGGCAGTGACAAGGAAGATGCACTGGAGAGAGAGCCCAAGAGAAGAGAAAGAGAAATTTTGCAGAATGACAATACCAACATTGGCAGTTAATTTGATTGTCTATACGGTTGTATTTTCACCTGTGAGTTGATCAGTCCCTACTCTGAGTATAGTTGGAAGTCTTATAAATGTATTTCTCAAGCAGGACATTCCTTCTCACACAAAAATGTTTCTATATATCCGTTGTCTATCTTCTGATTCTGAGTCACCCACCAAAATTCCTGGGTAAGCAATGTTCTGCTCAGCTCAGAAACAGTAAAGTAATCTGATGGCTTGTTAGTTGTTATAATTCAAGATAAGATCCATTAAAGAAAGAAGTTCTGGTACGAATGAGTTGGGGAAATTGACTAGTTGACAAACGAGTGGTTCACCCTGTCAAGAGTCGAACTTGGTATGCAATTAAAAGGATGCCTTTCTTTTGTATCTGTTCTCTTCTTAACTGCTTTTGAGGAGAGCTGAGAGCATTATATGTTGGGCTCGCAGACAACCACCCACAGAAAATAAGACTCAAACCCAACATTATAATCCATTCAATGGTCTCTCTATCTCATGGCTATGTAGAGAAAACATCTCTACATGTTGGGAAATAGAGGAGGAAAAGAATAGAAAAGAGTGCCTCTTGATCACACGCGATCGAATCGTAACCGTTGATCTCATTAACGATGATCAACGGTCAGCATCGCACCAAAACCAAAGTCGCCTCTAAAGCGCCTCATTGCGCCGCACACACGCGTGCACAGGCGTGCACGCGTGTTGCACGGTATCATACCCCCATACTCCCCTCTACTATCTCTAAGGAGTGTAAATCAGCTCCTATTAAAATACTAAAGACAAAGCTTATAATTTTTCAATGTGGGACAAGTTCAAAACTGGGTTTTGTAAGAGAAAAGCTAATTTTTCAATCAAGTGTGCATGTGCAATTTCTCATGTAATTGACCAATCAAACCCATTGGATTTAATCTCTTATGAGATTAAAATCCAACACTGCTCAACTCAGAAACAGTAATATGATGGTTTGTTAGTTGTTATAATTCAAGATAAGATCCATTAAAGAAAGAAGTTCCGGTACGAATGAATTGGGGAAATTGACTAATTTATAAACGAGTGGTTCACCCTGTCAAGAGTCGAATTTGGTATGTAATTAAGCGTCTATTTGGCATCGATGTCGTTGCTCCAGAAAACGGTGACACATCAACGCCACGTCGGAAAAACGATGTTCCAGGAAACGCCTGTTTATTTGGAATCATTTTCCATAAAAAACAGTGTTGCAAGCCATGCCTTGGTAATCGAGAAGGCATGGCTTGGAGCAACGCCAAATTTGACGTTTCTTAGAGCTGCAGTTTGTTGCTGCCAATAGGTGCGTGATGTGGCACTGGATAATAGGTATCAGTGCTTCCAACCCGCACATCAGCAGCATTGTTTTCTCATCTACAGAATCGGTGCCAAACATATACTAAAAGAGCGCCTTTATTTTGTACCTGTTCTCTTCTGAACTGCTTATTATGAGGAGAGCATTATATGCTGGGCTCGCAGACAACCACCCACAACAAATAAGACTCAAACCCAACATTAGAATCCATTCAATGATCTCTCTATCTCATGGCTCAAGGCCATTTTGAGCCAACATGTTGGGCAATAGAGGAGGAAAAGAAAAGAAAAGGAGATATTGGCCAACAAAGTTGGATGCGGTACATAAATGGCACTTGAGATAGGGGCCGTTGGGGTTCTTTTCAATACCCATTACCCACCACCCCCACCCATGGATGTCGGTCATTATGAGGATTCAAATCGAATGGCTGAGTCCTTGGGAAATGGCTTTCTTGCTAAAATCTTCGTATTTCTTAGACTCAAGGTTATAGTATATTAAGCTTAGTTGTGGATTTGAGCCGAGCCAAGCTGAATATTTGACTATTCGAGCTCAGCTTGTAAGAATAGTATTAGGTTTGAGCTCGAGCTCGAGCTCGATTCGGTTAATAGCTCGCAAGTTCGAGCTCGGCTCGGCTCGAGTTCGATTATAAACCAAGTTTTTTTGAAAAATAAAAATTATTTATTTTATATATTTATATATATGTATGTATGTATGTATATATATATATATAATAATAATAATAATAATTTATTTAATACTAGGCTCGCAAGTTTCACGAGCCGAGCTTTGCTGGGCTTGAACTCAACTCGATTAGCAAACGAGCCTATATATTGGGCTTGAATTCGGCTTGAAGCTTCGTTTAAACTGAGTATTTATAAATATATTTACTTATAAAAAGACATGTATTCTTTATATAAAAGTTTATATATTTTTTTAATAATTTATTAAAATTTTTAGAATTTGAATCGAATTGAACCATATTCGGATTTGAATCGCCATTTATAAGATTCGACCGAATATATCTATGATTTAAATCCAATCTGATCCATTTGCATCCCAACCCCGTGGCAATGAGTGTAGAGAGAGCTACATTTGGAGAGAGGGATGAGCGATGGATCTGAAATGTAAGCCAACCGAAGCCTAAACAAGGAAATTAAATGATAGGAACGGGATTCACTGCAAGTCAAACCTCTGCACACTCTTAAAAGCATATATACTCAAATTTATCATACATGTATAAGAGATATTCCTTATGAATTTTTATCCCAATTTTTGGTGGATGGGCAGGCTGAGAAGAGGGGATTGCAATTTGTAAACAAACTAGTGTTCTGTCTTAAACCAGTTTTTGAGAGCACAGCATCCCGTCACATATAGGGGAAATCCGCGTGTTATTGTTCTCATTTGTTGTTATTTTTTTATTTAATATTTTATAAGTAAATAAACTATTTCATTACAGAAAACAAAATGTTTAATTATTTCTGAAAGGGACGCGTGTGAGTGTGACTGTATCTCTTTTTTTGACATTTTACTGAGACATACACTCCATGGTCCACCATGAGGAGAAGACTCAGCAATGCAACAAAACGAAAATGGACCTCCATGAAATCTCCCTCCCCAGGTTTTTTTTTCTAGGCATTCTAGTAGCGAATCGTTTAATCGTTTTCCAGTCAAAAAGAACAAGGGAGAAATCCAAATAACAATCATTTTCATGCTTTTATCAGTTTATCGTTTGTGGATAGTGGATGTGTCATATCAACCACCAATACGTCATTTTTTCTCGCAATTTCAATCACCATCTTCTTCCACGTTTTTCTCTTATGGGTTTCTATGGACTCAAGATTCAAGAACACGATGGCACCATCACCACCACTCAAACCCATGTCATCGTTGTATCATGATCATCAATTGAACCGTAAATTAGAATTGGTGCTTGGCACAGTTTTCAGATTTTCTCTTCGTCACTCCTCTTCTCGTTGCCTTCTTCAATCACATAAACGCGTGATTGAGATGACGTCTTCGCTGTTTCCACTAGGGTTGTGGAGACCAGCTGATC